CTCGCATAAAACGATTATTCTACATGACAACATTACATCACATGATTATTCTACATTACAACATTAGATCACATCTAAGTACCTCTCACATAAAACGATTATTCTACATTACAACATTAGATCACATCTAAGTACCTCTCACATAAAACGATTATTCTACATGACAACATTACATCACATGATTATTCTACATTACAACATTAGATCACATCTAAGTACCTCTCACATAAAACGATTATTCTACATTACAACATTAGATCACATCTAAGTACCTCTCACATAAAACGATTATTCTACATTACAACATTAGATCACATCTAAGTACCTCTCACATAAAACGATTATTCTACATTACAACATTAGATCACATCTAAGTACCTCTCACATAAAACGATTATTCTACATGACAACATTACATCACATGATTATTCTACATTACAACATTAGATCACATCTAAGTACCTCTCACATAAAACGATTATTCTACATTACAACATTAGATCACATCTAAGTACCTCTCACATAAAACGATTATTCTACATGACAACATTAGATCACATCTAAGTACCTCTCTCATAAAACGATTATTCTACATGACAACATTACATCACATGATTATTCTACATTACAACATTACATCACATGATAATTCTACATTACATTACATCACATCTAAGTACAACTCTAATAAAACGATTATTCTAAATTACAACATTACATCACATGTTTATTCTACATTACAACATTACATCACATCTAAGTACCTCTCTCATAAAACGGTTATTCTACATTACAACATTACATCACATCTAAACACTTCTCTCATAAAACGGTTATTCTACATTACAACATTATATCACATCTAAGTACCTCTCTCATAAAACGATAATTCTACGTTACAACATTACATCACATGATTATTCTACATTACAACATTACAAGCATCATATAAAGATCAATACTGAAAAGACAGAAGTCATGAGCATAAGTAGAGAGCAACAGACCATCGACATATAGATTCTAGATCACAGCCTAAAACAAGTGCAAGAATTTAAATACTTGGGAAGTATCTTTACATTCAATGGTAAAATAGACAGAGAGATCGAAGCAAGAATCCAACAAGCCAACAATGTCGCATACCAGCTTGCCCCAATTTTAAAACACCCTGCTGTCCCAGCTGAGATAAAAAGACAAATTATAAATACAATCTTTATACCGACATTAGGTTATCAATGTCAGACTTGGACATTAACAAAAGAACACGAGAGAAGACTAACCGCCTGTGAAATGAGATGTTTGAGAATGGCTGCGAATAAAACCAGAAGAGATCGAGTGAGAAACGATGTGATTACAAGAACTATTGGAACCATACCCATCGTTAAATTTATTGAGAAGCAAAGAATGAAATGGTTTGGTCACCTAATGAGAATGGAACCAACGATGCCAGCATCAAGAGCATACAACATGAAAATCGAAACACCAAGAGGCAGGGGAAGACCAAGAAGAATATGGATTGAAGGAGTCACTGACAACTTGAGACTTCATAACATCACGGCATATAAAGCGACTAAGCGCGTCCTGGCTCGGTTGCCGATCATCTGATAGACTGCGACGCCTAGCGGCACAAGCAGATTTTGACAAAAGAAGAAGACAACATTACATCACATCTAAGTACCTCTCTAAAAAAACGATTATTCAACATTACAACAATACATCACATGATTATTCTACATTACAACATTAACTCACATCATTATTCTACATTACAACATTACATCACATCTAAGTACCTCTCTCGTAAAACGATTATTCTAAATTACAACATTACATCACATGATTATTCTACATTACAAGATTACATCACATCTAAACACGTCTCTCATAAAACGGTTATTCTACATTACAACATTACATCACATCTAAGTACATCTCTAATAAAACGATTATTCTACATTACAACATTACATCACATCTAAACACCTCTCTCATAAAACGGTTTTTCTGCATTACAACATTACATCACATCTAAACACCTCTCTCATAAAACGGTTTTTCTGCATTACAACATTACATCACATCTAAACACCTCTCTCATAAAACGTTTATTCTACATTACAACATTACATCACATCTAAACACCTCTCTCATAAAACGTTTATTCTACATTACAACATTACATCACATCTAAACACCTCTCTAATAAAACGATTATTCTACATTACAACAATACATTACATCTAAGTGCCTCTCTCATAAAACGATATTCTACATTACAACATTATATCACATCAAAGTATCTCTCTCATAAAACGATTATCTGACATTGCAACGTTGCATCATATATCATATCTAAGTGTCCTCTTCATTGAAAGATTGTGGGTCTGTTCTGTTGTAGACATGTGTGTTAGCCCTCAGCCAGAAGTAACGTGCAGCCTTTCGGAGCGGCTCGCCTGCCTCCTTGTCCATGTGGAAACCTCGTTTGTTCATCTGCTTAATGACGTGATCGAGGGGCCTGGTGTTGACGTGGGAAAGGCCGTCCTGTCCTGTGGACACAATGCGGGGTGCTCTACAGAGTTGCATTTACTAGCTGCTAGATTGTTACAGGGTAGACAGAACGAACAAGCAATCTTTATTTTCAAAAAGTTACAAATTGGGCACTTAGGCCCGTCTTACATTCGGTCCTTCACTCATCTTTCAGACCTTAACTGCATGTTATTAACAATGCATGTTATGTTTGTAAAAATTATACATAATGAAATAATTCATGCACACATCCCGTATACACAATCATATACACTCCGAATATACATACACACACATAGAGAGGGGAGTATGTAGGTAGTAGGTACTTTAATAGAAACAATAAAATTTTAAAAATCGTCACTTTTAACCAGCATATCCGAATAGGAAGCTTTAGGTTATAATTGTGACTAGGTTATATGCGTGATATAAAATGGCCTAGCACTGCACCCTAAAAAGGATTCTTGCAGTGTTGGTGCGATCAAGGGCGACATACCCAAACACGAAGTCGTCTACCGGCACTCCAATGGGCGACCCGTTCGCAGATACGGGGAGTAAGTAGGTAAAGAGTTGCATGTTGTATACTGCTCGTTATAGGGGCATTTGGAACGGTGCGTAGAGAGCTACAAATTTTAGGTGTTACGTGGTTAGATATAGCTCTGGGGTAAAAGGAAATGAAAGTGCGGACTGGGTTGATGGCATAGCCACGGTAGGCACAGGAAAAGTAATGGACCAGGCCGATGTTCTCAGTGCTTACAATGAGGCAGGACGAATAGATGACTCAGGAGATGAGGGTGAATCAGCAACTTTGACAATAGAGTGTACAAGAACTTCATGTCAAATGACCTGTTGCCTGAGACGAACACTAAGGCAGCCAAAGAAGAATAGTAAACTGACACAGAACTGCTGTTAGTCGCAACGCGCTGGGGGATATACTAAAGATGAGATTCGATTCGACTTGACCAATGTGTCATGAGGTTGATCGGTCGATTCGCTAATTAACTAACATCACTTGCAGGTGCGTGTGTATATCACACAAGAGATACACATGTGTGTATGCTAGCTATCACGAGTGCTGTGTAATAAGCAAATCGACTAGCACGAAAAACAAAAACAAAACGCGCAGTAGAACAGTCAGACTGAGTGCAAGAAACGCTGTCTCGTAAATCTTATGTTATTTTATGTCATCACAATCGACTTCACTGCACATTGGACATTTCCGTGTGTGCTTAGTCCTCCGATGCAGCAGCCGCTCTAGGGTACTTTTACTAATTGTTCCCATGAGGAGTTGATTGTAATGTCTTCTAAATGCCGCCTCAAAGGCGGCATATACGTGCTTCACCGTTCTTTACTCCTATGTGACGAAATCGTGTTAGTGTCAGGGATTCCTTATTATCCACTGGCCCAGTCCATTCAGCGTTGATGATATCTGCTCTGTCCGTGCTTCTTCCCACATTCCCGTGGTGCATTGTTTGTCAGTTTTATATCTCCCTAATTGCTCTGATCTACAGCTTCTTCGTTGTTTTTTTTTTTTTTTTTTACCCTATTTCTGGATCAACTGATTTGTCCTCTCCGCTGCTACCTGCAGATTTCATCGTCATGATCATTATGTACCATACCGGTAAGCTCTGTCTGTCATGTCTGCCTATCTCACACGATCACCAGAATCACGGATCAGTTCAATGTTTTGGTCTCGTCCCATCGGTCCGGCCTGGCCATCAAGATATTTTGTCCTTGCTTTCCTCTTGCTTTCTTTCTATCAATCCTGCCTGTTATTACCAAGTTCTCGAGTTCATTACTTCTTTTTAAAATGCCCACAAAAACCATTGACTGTCTACGTCTGATTGTTCTAATAAATTTCCGACTTCCATCTGTCTCGACGAGGACTGTTTCGTTTGTTTTTCAATCCATCCAAGATATTCCTTGCATTCTTCTCAGAAACAACATCTCTGCCGCAAGCAAATGTTTTGCTGCTTGTCTGCTTTTCTTCCATGTTTCGCATGCATATAACAACATAGGTTCTACTAACACTTCAACACATCTTCTTATGGATGAGAATCTTGGGCAACTTGCTAAAGGCCAGGGATGTTTACCTCCCTGAAAACAAAATCCAGTCTCGATGGCAGACCAGCTCTGCCTGTATACCCAGTTAAACCTCCACATAAGTTGTCATTAGGACACTGGTAACGGCTACACCAACCAGTGTCACCTGCAGTCTTTGCTGGGTAAAGACGGTTGGATCCCTTTCCCTCTATTGAAGCATGGGTCCTCGTCCAACTCGCCTCAAGTCGTCTGATCTGTTGCCATCCTCTGCATATAGTATCCATGACAGTAATTATCTTCTTCAACCACTTGAGCCTCTCTATCATTCTGCTCGTTACTCCGTACACCTGAATATAAGTGTGGCCATTACTGGGACCGAACTGTAACATGTAAGAGCTTAGAAGCTGCAAATGTCAAAACAGGATCGATGATCTTACCAGGGACAGCCCAGCTGAGTACGATGCCCTCCTTGGCATGCCTGGCCAGGTTGTCCAAGTAGATGTCCTCAAACTTGGCTGGGATGTGCTCCCCAACCTCTACACTGACCACCCAGTCGTAGGCAGGTAATCCGTACTGGGGCGCCGTCAGGTCCAGGAACTTCACCTGCATGGGAAGAACAACACTTTTATCACCAGCGTGTGTCATGCTGATTGGCTATTCAGCAGGCTGCTTCCATTCATCTGGGCAAGAGCTATTTTATGAAAAAGCGCAAGTGAAGAATATTCTCTAAGGTCAAGACGATGGTACAATAGAACAGAGTATTCATACCTTGAAAGGTTCATTCAGCGAGGAGACAGCAGAAGGTCTGAACGATTTTTGAACGTGCAGAGGAGAAGACACATACCTCTGATTAGTTTTGCAACGGGTACCATTAGTTTGGCAAATTCTTCGTTGGCTACTCAGAAATGTTTCTGGTTTGAATTCGTATGAAGTCGAATTTTTTAGTTTTTAAATAACCTTGACTCACATGCCGACTCAGCCTTAAATAGGTAGACGGTAAAAATCATGGGAAGTAAAGGCAGCCGGCGTGATATCCGCCATAGACCGATGGGTCTGGTATGATATGCCCTATACACCACTTGCGTGAAAATGCTCCCTTGTTCTTTTACGGATGAAGGGGTCGTCACTTTAAGTGATTACCAGAATTACGGATAAAGGCAGTGTTCTTGTCCCGCTTAAGCCCTATCTCCATGCCACCAGGGCTTTATATAGCTACCCTCCCTTTGCTCTTTTTTTCCAACAAGCCAGTTCATCTGCTAATGGTGCAGTTATCACTCGCTGACACTATACCTTCTTTGCTACGCGTGTTTGAAGGGTGTTTCAATGTACGACGCTCGACTTCTTTGCACAGGGATTACCGCCATATGGTGAGGCCTCGCTTTCCCTCTTACTCAATCTTTCGCTCTCTTTCCATATCACTTTCTATCCACCCCCACCCCCACCCTCTTTCTCTCTCCCTTTTCCTCATTCTCTCCGTTCTCTCCCTCTCCCTCCTTCTCTAACTTACTCTCTCACTCGTTCTACATCTCACTCTCTCTCTCTCACTCTTTAACACTTATCCCCTCTATCTCTCACTCTCCCTCCCCTCTCCCTCTTTCTCTCACAGACACACACTCTCTAATGTGAGTGTTGTTTCTTTATCTATGTTTTGTGTCCTTTGGTGTAATGATATTCTGAAGAGAAAAAATAAAATGCCCAGCTCAAAAGCCCATATTGTACTCCTTAATGACTGCGAGCTAGTTCACTTCCATCCATGTGTTGCTGCAGGGAAGATACATGCCCTGGAAGCTTGACCTTGATTTCCTTGCTGGTGCTTAATCCCGAGGTTGTGTGGTCTCGAGGCATGGCGCCCGCCTCGAGTGTTGGAGGTCCCAGGTTTAGACCCCGGTGAAGGCTGGGATTTTTTTCACGAGGACTTCTAGTAATTTTTCCTTGTCTCTACGTAGTAAGATCGGACGCCCGTGTGTACTGATGCGCACGTTTAAAAAAAATCCCTAGGCAGCTGAAAATCGAAAAAAAGTAGCCTAACTGCGATGCGGGAGCAAAATTTAGAGTTGAAAATCTACCCAAAGTATTTCAGAATCCTTGCCGGTGCTACGGAGTTAGTGCACTGCGCTGAGATTCTTTGCACTCAAACATGTGTCAGAAGTAGAAGGGAGCCCTGATGGGTTACTACCCTTGTGCCATGATGTTGATCCGTTGCTAAAACCTAATCACAGACGTTTAATGCTGTTAATGCTTTTTTTTTTTCTTCTTTCAAGGTAGGTTTCCTGTGGTAGTTTCCCCTTGCTTTCCACCTCCACGTGGTTTTAAGTTTTGTCCTCAGCCTACGACAACCTTTTAGATTTCTTGGGAAAAAAAAAAGGGGGGGGGGGGGGGTCGCGAGGCATGATGTCCGCCTCGGGTGCATGAGGTTCCGTGTTCAATTTTCGGTAAGGGCTGGGATTTTTTCACATGGACTTGGACTTCTTGTAATTCCCCCTGGTCTCTGGGTAGTGAGATCGGTCACCCGTGTGCATTGCTGCGCACTTAAAAAAGAATCCCTTGGCAGTTGGAAATTGAAAAAGAGTAGCCTAACGGCGATGCCTGGACAAAATTTGGAGTTAAAAATCTACCCAAAGTATTTAAGGATCCTCGCCGATGCTACAGAGCGTGTGTACTGTGCTGAGCTTCTTCGGACTCAGACTTGAGTTCGAAGAAGAATGGAGCACTTATGGGTTGCCTCCCGTGTGCCATGCTGTTGATCCGCTGTTCAAAACTTCAAACTTTACACTTTAGATTGCTAGGGAAAGTAAGTGCCCTGCTCTGTGATGCTCCTGCTAACAGCAGAGGGCACCCCAAAAGATATCTAATTATCCCGGCGGATACTCAGTCCCCATAGCTGCGTCGGCCACACCGCAGTGTGTTACAATTTACTTTAAAACTATCCTCATCGTCAAGACCTGTGCCTTGCCAAACTGGTGTAGGCGATCATGCCCCTCCACAATCTGCGAACCGCAACTGCGTGTATCAGCATGTATCGACACCCCTCCATGCCACGACAAAAAACTGTCAAGAATCTTTTTGCACTGTCTCTCTTTGCACAGATTTTTTCCAGTGGTCACAACATGTTCCAGTTTCCCACTTCTTACAAAAATGACCAAAAAATGATGACTGCCTCTTTGTGATGTTTGTGATAAGTTTTCTTCCGGCATTCGCTTTTTTTTTTAACTTTTTCATTCATTGTCCAGTATTCACAGCCGTTACGTTAAAACTGGCTCTATACAGCATGCGATATTTCTTTTCCTTACCTCCAATGACATGGATTTATTGTCTTCATACTGTGAAGCTGTACTGAAGGAAAACACTAAAGCAAGCGGGCAAGAGACAGACAGTGATACGGACGGGAGGATAATACCAAAAGAGGGACGAACGGCCGTCTCAGGGATCAAGAAGAAAGATACAGCGTGTTGGACATTCTATTAATATCATGTCAGGGGTTCTCCGAATGGGTTCTGGGGCCCCAGTTTTTGGGGGAAATAGAATAGACCCTCTGCTCCCCGACGACCAAGCGATTTATTAACACTTTTTGAAATCGCATATTTTGGGCTGAAAGACTAGATATCACAGGCTAGTTGTAAACCGCAACAGAGGGTGTTAACCGCCCTCTTTGAGGGCGAAACAATACGAGAATTGTTTGCAGAGACGGGATGTGTAATTGATGTAATCGCTGCAAATTACCGAACGTAAAAATATCCCTAGAAAAAAAAACACAGCGGCAAAATAAATGCTTTAGTTGGTTCTGCGACGTCCTGTAAAGGCTTTGCAATAGGTTTTTTTTTTTTTTACTATTTACTACAAATGCGTTACCCGGTTACGACCTCTAACATGGCTAAAAGAATGCTCGCTTTATGATTACAAGACTCTCGCAGAAAATGAAACGTGTCATAGCTAACAGTTACTAGTACTACAGTGAGAGTGCGAGGGCATGTTCTTAATTGCGAAGCGAGGAAAATAGCATGTGATACCAGTCAAGTTTAATCGTTATCTGTTAACTCTTAAACGTGCGAATTGATCGGGCCTCACTACAAGTTGTTTGGTACCATAAGTGGTAACGATACTTACGAGTCCATTGGTAACGTTTTCAGCGTATGGTGCCCCGTCGTACGCGTCGTACAGTTTCACCTGTCCCAGCGAGTCCATGTGAGCTTTGTACTGTCCAGGCCCGTCTCCGAAGCTGGCCACTGTCTTTCCTTGTAGGAACTTGCTGAGGCCAGTGGAGAAATGCTGTTCACAGACATGCAGATACTTAGACAAGAATGGTCATCGTTCTTTGAATATCTTTTTCTTCTTCTCCTCCTCCCCATCCTCATCCTCCTTCTTCTTCTTCTTCTTCTTCTTCTTCTTCTTATTATTATTATTATTATTATTATTATTATTATTATTATTATTATTATTATTATTATTATTATTATTATTATTATTAGTTTTCTCCTTCTTCTTCTTCTTCTTCTTCTTCTTCTTCTTCTTCTTCTTCTTCTTCTTCTTCTTCTTCTTCTTCTTCTTCTTCTTCTTCTTCTTCTTCTTCTTCGTCTTATTCTTCTTGTTCTTCTTCTTCTTCTTCTGCTTCTTCTTCCTCCACATGTTGTTTTTCGTGTGCTTTCGACATTAAAAGAGCTTTTGGCACTATCATTGTGTTTTTAACAAATAGGCTGCGAATCTCTACTTCTTTCTTCTCTTTTTTCTAATCTTCTTCTCTTCTTCTTCCAGTTCTTCTTCTTCTTCTTGCTCTTCTTCTTCTCCTCTTCTTGATTATTCTCTTCTTCTTCTTCTTCTTCTTCTTCTTTCTCTTCTTCTTCTTCTTCTTCTTTCTTTCTTCTTCTTCTTCTTCTTTCTTCTTCTTCTTCTTCTTTCTCTCTTCTTCTTCTTCTTCTTTTCTTCTTCTTTCTTTTCTCTTCTTCTTCTCTTCTCTTTCTTCTTCTTCTTCTCTTCTTCTTCTTCTTATCTTCTTTTTTCTTTTTCTTCTTCTTTCTTCTTCTTCTTCTCTTCTTCTTCTTTTCTTCTTTTTCTTCTTCTTTTCCTTTCTTCTTTCTTCTTTCTTCTCTTTCTTCTTCTTCTCCTCTTCTTCTTCTTCTTTCTTCTTCTTCTTCTTCTGATCTTCCTTCTTCTTCTTCTTCTTCTTCTTCTTCTTCTTCTTCTTCTTTTCTTCTTCTCTTCTTTCTTCTTCTCTTTTTCTGCTTCTCTTTTCTTCTTCTTCTCTTCTTCTTCTTCTTCCTCTTTCTTCTTCTTCTTCTTTCTTTCTCTTCTCTCTTCTTCTTCTTTCTTCTTCTTCTTCTTCTTCTCTTTCTTCTCTTCTCTTCTTCTTCTTCTTTCTTTCTTCTTCTTCTTCTTCTTCTTCTTCTTCTTCTTTCTTTTTCTTCTTCTTTCTCTTCTTCTTCTTCTTTTCCTTCTTCTTCTTCTTCTTCTTCTTCCAGTTTCTTCTTCTTCTTCTCTCTTCTTCTTCTTCTTCTTTCTTCTTCTTTTCTTCTTCTTCTTCTTTTCTCTTCTTTCTTCTTCTTCTCTCTTCTTCTCTTTCTTTCTTCTTCTTCTTCTTCTTTCTTCTTCTCTTCTTCTTCTTCTTCTCC